ATGGTCCACCTTCCTTGATACCATCTCTCTATTTAACCTGATGTCTTGATGAAACGTTTCCTCTTGTTCTTCGCTGACGACACCGCGATTTTTAGGGAAATAGTCAATATGTGAGTGTAAGAAATGAACTTTCAAGCTCATATTACAACCCAACTCTTTTAAATTTATCGAGCATGTTATTGACAATATTTTCGTAATTTGGATCCTTGTTGTTTCCTAAAAATTTGTCTATAACATCCTTAGAGGCACTCCACGCTTATTTGTCAACTTTGCCCAACAAAAATGATTTCTTTAAGTTTCGCTTCTTGAAACAGTCGCCATCTTTGTCTAAAGCATTTACAAACTGCTTCGTCAAGCACAGATTTATGTGAAGTGGAAGTAATAGGACTTTATTTGTGTCAACTAAACTTCTACGTTCAATGTTTTTCGATTCTGGTATCAGGCTGACTCTGCGTGACCATTGCTTCTTTATCCAGTGCTGATTTCGTGCTCTGCTGTCCCATTCACACAAAAAACATGGAAAATGTGTATAACCGTATTGTTGACCCAACAATATACAAAGGACTTTTAAGTCTCCACAAAGTAGCCAACCATGTTCTTTGTATTTGACCTTATTAAGAAGATGTTCGAGATTTTCACACGTTTCCTTCAAGCGAACCGAATGAACAATTGGAACAGATGCCTATATGTTACCGTTGTGAAGGAGAACACCTTTTAGACTTCTTTTGGGGGAATCAATGAACAATCGCCACTCATTTGGTTCACGGACTGCAGCTCCTAGAATTGGTATTAATTCAGCAATATTGTTGCAATAAACCAGTGAACCTTCTTGCAAAGAGTATGGTATAAATTCTTTCTCACGATTTCTGTACCAGTAAAATGATGTCCCTGGAGAAAGTAAGTTCTTACCGAAGTCTGGACCCCGAAATCTGTGAAGAATCCTTTGGAAGGCCCAAATCTCTCACCAAATCATTAAGTTCACCTTGTGTGAAAAGTTATGGTTCAACAGACGGTTCAGGTTGAAAACAATCCCTATCATAATTTCTATCGACATCAGATTCAGAATCAGGTGAAACTGTATCAATACTCTCAGGTCTATGACCAACAGGGTTTATAGCAGATTAAAGGTTCGGATAAGAAATTCCCTTTTCATTTCAAGTTACATAAGCAAAATAGTAATAATCTCCGTGTTTTTTTTTTCTCACCTTTAGTCCATTGTCTCAGCTCTTCGACACAAATGGTGCAAACTTTGTGCGGAGCTCATGATTTGTCTTGGTCCCCAAGTTTTATTCCAAAATACGCGTAATACGCTTTTTTGACGAATTCTGTAATGTTTTACCTTTATTTCTTTACAACAAATTTACCACAAATATGACAGAATATGTTGGGATCATTTACACAACCTCTTGTTGCCATAGACGAATAAATAATGTAAAAGTGCACGCAAAAATAAATACTATCCAGAAATGCCATGCGGCATATTAACCGTTTATATACTAGCGGTGTGTTTCTCGTGGGTACTAGAACGATCGATAAGACTCTCACGTCGCGATAGGTCTAGAGAAATCTATAGCCAGTGGTTATGAACATTTTAAGCATAACAAAATGTGACCCGATTTCAATAAATTGTTTGTTTGTAATTAAGCCCAAAGCTACACAATGGGTTTTCTGTGCTCTGCCCACCACGGTTATCGAAACCCGGATTCTAGCCTTGTAAGTCCGCAGACATACCGCTGTGCCACTGGGGGGCAATTTCAATGAAAATGATTCATTTATATAAAAGTACATATAAAGTTTTGTGAAAAATCTGTACGTGATGGAGAAAAATGGATATCATTTTCGGATTCAGCGTACAAGAATTACTGTAGAACATGTAAAATTTTCAAGACAATAAAACATGCACAGGCCTGTCATATCCCGCAGTAGTAATATTTTAATTAATGAAAGTATTAGTGTTAGTTAATGTACAGGAAATAGAAACAACGTAGGATAAAATAATAGGTAAAACACTTCTAACTGTGAGATAACTTAGCATGAAAACTTACATCTACAGCATTTTATTGCATGGGTGTCTTCCATCAAGAGTAAAATAATCCTACTTACTTTTTTCTGTTCGATTATGCTGAGATTTTTCCATGATGACATACTTTAGTAATGCGCCATCTTAACAATCGTTTTCCAGGACTATTAAATACTGAAAAATAAAAATGTTAAATAATTCTCTTTTAAGAGGGGCATATTCTTAGAATTGAAATTTACCCAAAAAAATCCCTTATACGAATAAACGGTATATACTTATAACTAAAGTTAAAGGTTCAGTGTTTTTTGGCATAAAACATTTATCATGAAATCAATGCTCTTGTAACACGTTTCAGCATAAAATTCTTAAAGACTTTTAGGCATTCAGTTTCAAATGTTATAACACACAACAAAGTTTAAACCACGAATTTCAATGCACTGTCGAAGAAATATGTTCTTTAATTAGAGTTACCAGACCAGGAAAGGAAAACAAATGAGTAAATAGTAAGTATAACATTCATATGAAATATCTAATATTTAAATTCAAATTTACCATTACAGACCAGTTCGGGCGTTCCCAGTAGTCAGAATCCGGACTGTAGTTCGCACCCTTGCACCGAGAAAAAAAAATCGTCTGTTTGTAAATAAGCACAGAACAACACAGTGAGCTATCTATGCTCCTCCCACCACGGGTATCGAAACGTGGTTTTCAGCGTTGTAATTTCGCATACATATCGCTGCGCCACGGTGGGGGGGGGGCAATAAGAATCGTAGTGTTTGCAATGAGTATTGTTGACTAGTTGTCTTCCCTCTACTCTATCAGTTCAAAGTTAGGGACAGTTATTGCTAATAACCCTTCTACGGATTTGCGACAATCTCCGAAACAAACATTATAGGCCTCTCACGGTTATGGCTGATGGTAGGTGTCGAATTATAGCCAACACTGCATGATTGCAAATTTAATAAATACTAAAGATAAAGTAGCCATCCTTAAAGCTGACTATAAGAAGTGGCAAGAATCGTGCAAGCAGGAGATGACGATTCTAGGCGAAAGTGAGACAGAACGTTTGTAGCTATATATTATATTTAGAAAATATTTAGTTTCAGATAAAGTATGCAACAGCAAAGGCCCATCAGAACTTAGAATCGTCATAGTGGAAGAGGGTCGTCACGACCCAAACTCCATCAGAAATCTGGCCAGCTGCAGAAAAACTGTGAACTAAACCACATCATCACTCCGTATATGCCTGCCCAACACATGCTAACATCTACAGACGACTTCCTCCACTTACTACATGCCACAAATCCACAGGGACTACTCGCCTCCTTGGACGTCGAATCATTATTTACCAATGTGCCAGTCCAGGATACGATAGACATAATCTGTGACAACGTTTACAGACACCCGACCATGCCTCCACCCAAAATACCTGAAGAAATAATGTGTGAACTTCTACTCGCTTGCACTACAAAGTCACCTTTTTAACATATCAATGGCTCGCTATACCAGCAAGTCGACGGAGCTGCCATGGGCTCTCCTCTTGGAGTAACCTTCGCCAATTTTTACATGTGTTACATGGAAAACAAAGT